GGAATATCTGCCTAGAAAACAGTGCTCACTCTCTGATTAGGTATTTTGCTTTAGCACTTTTATAACAGCAAAGCTGTGACCACAGGGAGGATGGAGTCATATTCTACAAGTTTAATGACTGGGTGGTTTAATGGACAGAGAAGAATGCAACTAAGACAGGAAGTTCTCCATAAATACTGACCATTTGCAAAGCATCAGTGATGGAAAAGGACCAGGGCCATGCAAGGCAGCCTGGGGAGGAGAGACCTCAGCAGGAGGAAGGAATAACCAGCAATCAGAGCCAGTGTTATGTTCAGAATGAACTTGAAACACTGGTTTCATGCTGCATTCCCAGGTTCCAGGAAGGTGCCTTGACAGCGATTCTCCCGGCCTTATTGATACCAGAAGGGCTGCCAGGGAGGTTCTCATGGTCCAAATGTCAGGGAAATGGCACAGAATATGATCACACACGTTAAAGACAGACTACAACAGCTGCCCTTATGAGGAGCCAACTGATATCCTATGGTTTGAAATTAAGACAGCCAAGGCCAACTGTTTCCGAGCTGCAATCCCAAACCACAGAGGAGGAATGTGGAAACTTCACCAGGACACACCAGTGTGCTCCAGGGACAGCGTGGAGGTAACTGCTTGGCTGATGCAGTTGTTCAGCTCTGAACTTTAAAAATGCATCTGCACCTCGCACAGAAGGCCACGACCTTCTGAACCCACAGACTCAAACCTTCGTCACCCAAACCCAAACCATCTATGCAAGGAATTCCTGCAGTCCAACCACTCAGCCGTTGGAGCCATGGGATGTCCCTCCTCTTCCCTTTCACAGACTGCATCAACCACAGACATTTCACGTCACACATTTTTATTAACCTGGAATGCCAGCAAAGGACCGCAAAAACATCTCTCTCATCTTTTTGATTCGACAACAAAAACCAGCACCAATTTGGGAAGATCTGTCAGCTCACTTGGGGGATCACATGGTACCAAGAATTCAGCTCTCCACGTGCTAATCCCAGCTGTGCTCTCAAGCACCACTGGACAGCTCTGCCTGCCCAGAAGAAACCAGTACAATGAAAAAAATGACTGTGAACCACGAGGAAATGGGGGTAGAAGCTTCTCCACTGCCACCACGTGGCTGGTGAGCTCTTCCCATAACTGCATCAGGATGGTATTCCTGAATATGGACTGCTAGCCCTACTTTGTTTCCCTTGGTGTAGCCAACTTAACATATTCCTCCTGGGATCAGGAAAACAGGAAGATCCTCACAGCACACAGTGAACTACCTGCCCACTCAGCAGCTTCTGTGCTGAAAAATGTTCCAGGAATATGTTTAACATGAATAAAAATACAATGGCTACCCGGGTTTGCCATCATTCCCCACTCTATCTGTTAACATCATAAGCACAGCAAGCCATACTCAATTTTTTTCAGATTTGCTTTCCCAAGGGATGATAAGAAGTAATCTCCCTGTTGTTACAAATGTTGTATTTCGAAAAGAAAGCTTTTATGCATATTTTAGTTGATCTAAATACAGTAGATCTTGGGTTTTTAAATCACCAGATAATATGCAATTATCTCGAGCTAGATTCTGATTTTGAAACAAGCTCTAATTAGCTCCCCATTTTATGCTGTTATAATCCTTTCTTCAACTCCCATGAGCGTTACTATTGCTAAGCAGCATGAGGTTAGGAATGATGGATGATACCCAGAAAGGAAGACAAACAAAAGGGAAATTCAAAATCCCCTGAGATCACCCGCAGCTGTATCGGCAAATGAAGATTTCCACATTAGGTCATAAGACGACCCTTACAGAAACACATACCAAAAAGGCACGTCTTTTTTCCCCACTGAGTATTTGCAAGTCTTTAATGTAGTATTATAGAGAGTGTATGTCCTTCACAGAGGATAAAGACAAAAGTGAATAAAAATTCAGCTTTCCTGGGAGCGGCCACGAAATCAGCAGCACCAAAAAGGAAACTCTGTCTTAAATCTCGTATAGACACGCAGAACAAGGCCCCAAAATAAAACAAACTAATAAAAGCTATACACAGTACAAGTATTTAGAGAAATATCCAAGCCTTCTCCTGGCACATGGCGACTGTCCAAACCCACCCCAGCTCCCATCATCAGTAATGCAACTAAATAAGGGCCAAATTCATCATGAAAAAATGCTGATGCAGTTGGGTGACACTAATTCAACTTTTTTTTTCCATGTGATTTGGTCTGTGCTTTTGACACATAAATCATTAAAAAGGCAGATTTACCCAAGGGCATTAGAGCATTTAGGTGGAAAGAAATACACAGAAAAAAAATGTTAGAAAAGGCACAGCAATACTATTTTTGACCACCTAGGGTACAAACACCATTTTTGTGTAAAACATGTTCCCTGAAATTTGCACAAAATCACCAAAGCATTGAAGGAAGGTCACAGGCAGAAAATGCAGGTGTACACCTGGTTGTCATTTTGGTATAGACTATTTTTCATAAAATTCATAAATATAGCTTCCAAAGAAGAAAACCAAGCCTGGCTTCTCTTTGCTATCTCTCTCTCTCTCTATATATATATAATTACATAAAATACATATATTTTATCCATTCATTCCCACATATGAGAGACTGATGGGTCCATCTGTCCACATGTGAAAATGGAAAATTACTGGACTAAAGACAACATTTTCATGGATTAGGTGTAAATCAAAACCTTATGATCTAGAAGTGTAACTAACTGGGCCAGAAATCCAGAAAATCTTGCTAGTTTGATACAATAGTGCCAAACAGTAATGAAAATGCTCCCAGCTAATAAAAGTTTTGTTACTATGCATGTTGACACTCTGTACACTGAAGACCTTCTTGGCAAAGCACTCAGGAGCCACTGAGTGTGTGAGTTTAATTTCACTTCTTTCCCTTCATGCATTCAACAAGTTCCAAGCCAATTATATTACATGGAAAAGGCTCCAGACCTCTTCTCGTTTCAAAATTGTCCTGATTAATTTCTGTTTTAAAATTACAAGTATGCAACCTTTTCTGCCTTGATTTTCCTGGGAAATGTCTCAGAAGACCAGAAAATTGAAGCTGTCTCTCTTTTCTTTTTTTTTTTTTTTTTTCCCTCTGCCCTGGAGTGGTGGATCTTTCACAAATGCATAATTATTATTACCTTTTCCAAACTGTTTGCTGTGCTTTTAATTACAGAACAGCTGCTAATAAAAGGAAATTACCAAACTGCCCGTCCTCGTTCGAATAACTTGGTTTTGCTCTTTTGTTCTGCCTGGTGTCACAACCTGCCTTATTCCTTTACACAGAGAAAGGCACCAAGAAAAGAACATTTTGTACAACAATTCTATTTTTAATCCTTGGAGAGGAGGTGGAAAAGGGCACGAGCCCATTTTCTCATTTGTAAGGGGGCTTTAAGGAACGGGGGAGGACGATCATCAATAATATGATTTTATTAGCTGATAGGAACGTGTCTCCTCACAAAATATTAGCTCAAGGGCAGGAACTGACAAACGAGACTGGGAGTGTGGGAGGGAACAAAATATCCCGGCAGCAAAACTGAACTTCCTGAAGGAAATCACTTTCAGCTCCCAGCAAACCTCCCGGGAATCCACAAGGTGGTCGGATTTTAATACTATGGGCTTGTCTTTCAATCTTTTATAATTAGAGTTAGTCATAAATATGATGATTAGCAATAACAATGCAGCATTTCCCAGCTCCTCTGATTTCAAATTCCTCTTAAAATGGCTACAATTAATTACTCATATTTTCCACGCTGTCTGAGGCGTTTCTAACTGTGACACTTCACTCTTGCATGGTATTGATGCTACAAAAAAAAAAGTAGTCAATGGCATGTTTTTAACAAACCATCACAGGAAATTTCCATGTTCCCTAAATGCTTGGCAATAAGCAACAATAGCCCTATGATTGCAAATCTTTTTCTCCCATTTTGGTTTTGTTTTCAGGGCTTGTTTTTACTTGGGGCATTTTTTTTCTTTTTTTTGGTTTTGGTTTTATCTGTTTATTTTGAACTGTTCTTCTTAAGAAAAACGTGGACTGAATATCATCACGGATTTTCTTCCAGTAAAATCTTTTAGAATGCAAAATAGTTTCCCAGTAGAGAGAAAAAGCAGTTTGGTTGGGATATTAAGAGTAAAGCCAGCAAGCTGCAGAAAAAAAAAGAGTGTTTCAGAATAGCAGAAAGGTGGAAGAGGAGCACAAATCATCCCTCTCTGTATCCTGAAATGCAGCAATTCTCCAACACAGGGCACTGGCTCTAAGTACAGAGCAGGGCATGAGTATTTTTCTAGAGTACAAAACAGCCTGAGTGGTTTGTGTCAAGTGAAGCATATAATTGGTAAAAGTCTGTGTGGGTAGAGTTTGGTATCCAACAGCAGGAACACAGCTGTTCTGGTCTGTTCCAGCCTCCCTCCCATCCTGTGGCCATCTTCTAAAACCTTCAGCCACTCACTTCTCTGACTTTCAGCTTTGCTGCATCTGCTTTTTTTTTTTCTTTTTGCAAATGGAAAGGGAAAGGAGGAAAAAAAAAGGTCAGCTTGGAATATTTAACGAAGCTTGAAAAAGACACAACATGGTGTGTTCCCCACCTTGGAATTAACAAAGCAGATTTTGTGCAAAGGAAAGTGGAAAAAAACCTACCAGCGAGTGAGGCAGCTGCAGTATGTGGATCACATTACAAACCAAGGGCTTGTTTTACAGCCATTGTCACATGTCACATTGATAAGCTGAACTATGGCAAAAAAACCCCCTACTGAGCCAATGATCTCCAAGATCACATAAAGTCTCTTTACCTAATATATGCAGCTAAATATGTGTACTCCCTACCTCTGCCATAGCAACAAGGAGAGAAGGAGGAATTAAAGGCATTAATAAAAAAATTGAAGGGACTCCTGTATGATACAACACAATGTGAGAAACCTCTTGGCATCAAAGCAAACGAAACGTAACAAAAGCACAGAGAATTATTTCAGAGCAAATCATTGAAACCAGCTGATTACCTGAGCTTGCACATCCCTGCTGTAGGGAATCCTGTAATGATGTCACAGAGTGAAGGACTAGATAAGAGAGGAGAGGAAAATCAGGGAACAATAAAAGGAGATGCCAAACCACAAACTAAACAGTAAGCAGGCTCAACAAATAGCAAACTGATCTTGGCAAGGGCTCTCTGCTCAGTTAAGTCAGTGGCATATAAAGGTACGACCGAGGCCAGACTCCAGCCTGGCTTTTCTGTGCCAATGGGAATTAGGGTAAGAGACAGCCACAGTAAAAGTGTAATTGCAACACAGCATTCCCCCTTTAGAGCTTAGTTCTTCTAGCTCACCTCCTGAGACAGCAATCGATATTCTCCCTGGGACAATCCAAATCCCCTATGCAGCCCTAGGAAACAGCACGCAACATTTTCCAGCTCTTTGGCCAAAATTTTTGGAATTACGTCTCATATTCGTGCCTAGATAATATCACCCTAATCAGGAACTTGATAACTGCTGCTTATCAATTATGCATAAACGAGCGCTTCGTTCATAAACATTCCCAGCACGTTCCCTTAGGGACTGGCTGGGCTGCCAGGGTGGATGCTGCCACTTCCATAAGGCCTGGACCAGCACTGGTGCAAGGCTGGCTTACTGCAAATTTCAAAAAAAAAAAAAAAAAAGAAAAAAGAAAAAAAAAGAAAAAAAAAAGATTTCCTCCTCCTCAACTCAAACAACATAGTGGAATTTTAATTACCTTGTCCTTGTTGCTGCCCTTGTGCGGGCAGGACACACTGTCCCAGCTCACCATTCAACCAGAGCTGCATACGAATAAATGGTTCTCGGCCTTTTTGGGTCAATTTACTCCATGGCTTTGGCCTGGAGAGCATGTCACTGACACTTCCTTGGGACAGCCCCAATACCTGAAGTGAAGCAACCAAGAACGGCACGTTAACACACTGGAAGTGGAAAGGGGGTAATTTAAGTCATTTTGGGTTCCTTCTACCGCATCGCTCAAATTGGGTTCGTGTGGACAATTAGAAAAACTGCAAAAATGACATCTGGAGATACTCAGATGGAAATGCCTTTTTTTTTTTTTTTTTCCCCTGCCGTGTTTCCTTCTGGAAGGTGGGTTTTTTTTCCTGCAGGATCAGGACAGCAGCAGGCTGGTGCGGGATTTGCATGCTTTTCATATTTCGTGTCAGATAGTTTCATCAGCTTTAACAGGAAAAACACCGAGTCCAGGCACACACAGGCAGATGAAACAGGCAATGATTGGCACGTATTTTGTTCTCAAACAAAAATAATTGGGACTTTTGAGACTAGGCCTATATTTGGTTGATTTTTGGGGTATGAATTATAACGATGTGTGTTTTCACCTGTAGCAGCGGCTGCTCCATGTAAGTAAATATTTAAGAACACAGCCAACTGCAGTGGAGGGGGGATTTCAGACAGGCAGAATGCAATTACTTGCCTGGAATTCAGCACAGGTAGAGGAGTTAAAAATCATACTTAATGAAAACTGCCACGGGATCTTTAATGACCCCGAGAGGTCAGGCTTTTCATTTTACATCTTAGTGCGGAGGTAACAGTGCGATGCCAGCTCCTATAATACCATTACATTGATTCAATTCTTTATAGGAAGAAGAAACAGCAAATGTCCAACAGTTCTTACAGCCTGGGAGGGGTTTTCTGGTGGTCAGGGACCCTCAAAATCCCACGTGCTCAAGGCTTAGGGCCCACAGCGTGAGAACTTCAGGGAGCCTTATCAGGCCTCGTGTATCTGTAATCAAACATTGCTCAAAAGGGCCTCAGAGCACACTGAGATACCAAGCACCAGGTATAAGAAATGTGAATTCCTGACTTCAGGCTAAGAAAAGGTAGGGGATTTTCCATGTGTTTGTTTAAATACCCCTGTGCACATTTCCAAATAATAAAAAAAAAAAAAAAAAAAGGAAAAATGCTCTTGTGTCTATAATCTTCACTCGTAACAAATTTAAGACTCTCCAGTCATGACAATGGTATTGCTCAAGTATTCCATGAATTCATTACATTAAGCATGAAGTACTGAGCCTCAATAATGTTTGCTTCAGCTTTCAAGGTTTCTAAACTCGGGGCCCCCGTTTCTAATTCCAAGTGGCTGAAAAGCCAACCTCTGCACAAAAACCTCTGCAATTCCCAAACACAGGGAAACTAATGCTTTCCTTTGGGAGCTCATTTTAAATAACGTAACACACGAAGCAAAAACATTTTTCCGTCAGACACACGTGGCACATCCCCCTCCACTAAACGGGGCTCGGCACACACGTAAGGAGCAGAAGGCACATTGACAACACAAGAGAGAACCACTTGTTTACCTTTTCCCCAAAGATCCTTTGGCAGATGCCATTCTTTGCTAGCTTTTCCTTGACCTGCCGCGTTAGCTCTATCGTATCCACCTCCTGGTACATATAAATCTCATACTGCTCGGGTGTCAGTGGAGGAACCGAAGGTTTGGATGGCTTGGACAAGGACACGATAGGGGATGAAGGGAGGGGGCTATTTTGTGGTGTCTCACTGCGACTCGCCCCAGTCATGCTCAATTCAGAACTCTGGGAGTACGGAGATTCCGCGTTTGGCCACTCTTTCCAATACTCGGAAGAAGACGGTCCTTGGAGCTGGCTACGATCTGGCCTAGTCTGATTGCTGACCTTTTCTTTTCCACCACTGGCTTCCTCAACTTTTATATCTTCGGGAAGAGCTGCATTTCTTCTCTCATGCTGCACAGTATTCCACCAATGGTCCTTCCAAACACCACCACGTCCCAACTCATTTTTAACATGCCTCAACATACCCTGGGCGGAATCACTTATTCCGTGAAGCTCTAAAACAGGCGCCTCCTGAGGCTCCTTTTTGAGCCCAGAGAGGTTCTGCAATGCAGAGATACTGGAATCAGTGACAGATGAATGTTTCTTCAGGGATATGGCCAAAGGAGAATAGCTGGAAACCGAAGACATTGCAGGTGTAGACACTAGTTTGGGGGACAGGATAGAAATGTCAGCTTGAGATAAAGGTGGTGTTTTTAAGGCAGGTTCAAGGGCAGCCTGCTGTGCCTCCATTTCCCGTCGGGCTTGTTGCAGAATGGATCGAATAGCATCATCAGAATTGCCACTGCTAGAGGCAGAAGGCGGCTGAGCCGGCTCAGCTATGAAAAACAACCAAAAGACTAAATGCAACACAGGAATATGCTTTATATTCAACACGTGCTACTGTAAACAGTTCCCTGACAGACAGAAAAAAAAAAAAAAAAAAAAAAAAAGGGCTGAAATACATTTCTGGATGGGAGGGAGGAGTTTTCACTAAGCAGAGATTTGCACTTTTCAAAATAAGGTAAGATTTCCAAAGTCCTTCACTGGAAAATTTTGATAGTTGCCAAAGTGCTGGATGTTTGCACGCACAGACTCAGCTGCACAAGTCTGGGATCACTTGCACTTCCACCATTGTAAAAATTTTCAAATAAATGCCTTTGAAAATCAAGCCTTCACCTCTTCCTCCCCCACCCCCAAGTGGTCAATAACATTTTATGGTTGTATTTATAGAGTTATTTAACCTTTCACTTCTCTCTTTCTCCACAAATGAATCTAACACACACACAGAACTGAACACAGCTGCATTCACCTGGACAGACTATTAATACTCTCTCACAGTATAAATAAGGTGAGTCCTTTTAAATCCACAAACATAACACACAAATTACAACAAAGCCAGAACTTTAGGAAGAGATCATCATCATCTCATTTGACAAGCTAAATATGCTCCTGCTTCCTGTTTTCTTGTTCCATGGTCTCAGCCACTGAAATAAACAGCTCTACCAAAGCCAGGCTGACACCTGGTCATCACCCCCTGCCTTATCCGAAGCTCTGGGATGGAGCCATGGGTGCTTTGAGCAGAGACAACCCCCAAATGCAGCATTCCAGTGGGGAACCAGGATTTGGGTGGCTGTGCTGTAGCAGTTGGGGATGAGCAGAGACTGGAACGTGGGTGGGGAATTATCTCTGCAGAGCCAGGAGGTTTTTGCAATGGCATCTGCTTCTATTTAAGGCCGTCTCCACTGAGGTCCCCAGTGCTTGAAAACCAATTCCTCTGAAAGCTGCTCTACAGAGAACAGGGAAAGTGAAGCACCAGGTAGGAGCAGGGAACCCTCACACTGCAAGTGGCCTGAAAGCGAAATAAGATTTGAAACATGCCGTGTATTACTCTGGTAATATTATTATGCCTCATCTGAATCCATTTCTGAATTTGCCTCCCTACATTCCTTCCTGTCACGCATTATAAAATACATGAAAAGCTAAAAAATGGGGGAAAAAAGACAGTGAGACTCTCTCTTCTGTTTTATCTGCTGGTTTCATAGGGAGTTTTGAGGCTGAATTAATATTTGAAAGGAAGTCTTGAGGTCCTCAGATGAAACATGTTACTGAATAACGTGCTTGCAGTTTCCTGCACACAACCCATATTTTTCTCTATGCAATAATTTCTTGTATAAGGTCGTATTATTTAGGTCATACATTAACTAGTCTTTTATATTCTGCCATGAGATTAACTTAGTTTTCAAAGAAAAGACTAATATCCCAAACTGTAAATCAGTATTTACTTTAAAAAAAAAACCAGAAGTATTGCACAGTAATTTCCACTTCAGCCCATTAGCAGTACTAGGAACTCTTTTAAAGCTGGGAGGGCTATGGAACAGAAGAAATGGTAATTACATGACAGCATACAATGAGAAATTAAACTTTTCTCAGGATAAGACGTTAAACTACAGATTTTTTGGGAAATGATTTGCCAGTTCATTCACTGAATACATTCTGTAACCAAAAATAAAGTCATCTAACAGTCAGAACTGAGTTTGCCTATATAATAATCTGGGTACAGGATGTACAGTGGTGCTGTGTGACTGGTAATTGCTGTCTAGAGTGTGACCTTCACCCCAACAAATCCATCAGTTCCCTCTCCCAGCAGTTCTGTCCCTGGGGCCTGAGTCAGAGAGAAAAGAGAAAGCAGAAGCCATTCCCTTTCCAAGGAGCAAAATGGGAGAGGAAAGGGTTCTATAGGTGCCCCTGCAGGTCTGGAGGGCTGCAAAGAAAGCAGAGCTCTGCACAGGGATAAAGCTGTTCAGAAATCCCACAGTGTCACTCCCTTGGGAGCAGAGCAGAGACCCCAAAACGCCGTGACACGTGTGACCTTAACTTGGGATGTCTTAGACACAGAAACAACTCCACTAAATAATAATAAAACCCCTCAAGAAAGCTCTTCAAACCTACGCTGACGGTTTTAAGGATATAATTAACTGACCAAAAAGCTCATGGCAATTGTTTTAATTAAATTCTGAAATCGAAGGAGCCAGAGACAAAACGAGGCCGTACCTGTTTTCTGTACTTGCAGCTCCCTTTTGGCTTGTTCGAGGATGGATTTGATGGCTTCATCAGAGCCAGTCTCTGTGGTTCGGATTCTTGTGGTTATATTACCTGGAGAGGAAAACAGAACTAATGACACCAGGAAAACTTTTCTCTGGTTGTTTTTGTAACACAAAGACACGCTGGATATACTGATACCACGGCCAGCATGACCTGAGGACAGCTTACACAGGGCCTTTACCAACATTTACAACACCAAAAATACTTAATAAAAGAAAAACATCCTTTCTGTGCCTGTCTCTAGCTGCCCTGGAATAGTGAGAACATCAGAGGAAGAACTAGCTGGTCATATATTCCTTTTCTATGGCAACATATATAGATCTATTCTTTTTCCTTTTCTTTTTTTTTTTTCTTTTTTTTTTTGGAGGGGGAGAGGAAACAGAAGGGAAAAGAAGGGAAAGGAAGAAAGCTAAAAAACATAAGCCCAAGAATCAACTTAAAAATGGCATCAGCTGCTAGGCAAAGTAAGATGAGTATACATTCAGCACAAAACAGAATTAAAAAGTAACTAGATAAAACTAATTTTTAACTTTCTAGAGGTTAATACATGAAGAGAAAGAGTCATTTAAACGCAGATACCATTTGAAGTACTCTCCAGGTAAAGAGCTGAGTGTTTGCTTTTGCTTTGTTTTTTTTTTTTTCTTTTTTAACCTCTAAGGGGAAGAAAAGGAGGGAAAACCATGAATGCTACTGCACTTAACTGCATTTCTCATTATGAGGTTATTGTTTGTAAGTGAGCTAGACAATTTCTGACTGCAGTTAAAATAACTACAGAGTTTTGGGGTCCCTGCTTTAGTTTTTTCTTCTTCCTCATCTTACTAAAAGACAAATTCTGCAACCTAATCTGTAACAAAGAAAAACGTTCAGACTTTCTGTTCAGTGATAATATATCAATCTGATGTTTACTTATCTTGTCTTTCTCATATACAATACTGAACTAAGCATCACACTAATTTAACAGTGTAATAAAGTGGAATTTGTCAGCATAAGCCCCATGAGAAGAAAGAAGTAAATTTAGAGCAGAAGCAGTATGTGATTGTCAGTGTAACTGTGCAACTTTCTCCCTCCAAAATCACAAGAACAGCAAATAGATCTGGTGATTTTATAAAGCCACTTCTATCACTTATCTCTTTTTATCTGCAAATGCAGGGAGGATGGGAGTGGAAAAACTGTCCAAACAGGGTTATGTTAGTACAGCAGCAGCAGAATTAGAAAAAGCAGAGTGTTCATCTAACCCATGGTTTGTTTTATACTTACTGTCTGTTTTTCTATCAGATTCCAGGCCAGAATCAAACTGCACAGTTTTAAGGAAACACACAGCTAAAGCACACTCCACTTCCTAGGGATGGACTGCAAAGAAAAACACCTGCCTGTGACGTACCTTCAGACCCATTTCTTCGTTTCGGTACTTCCTGAAATAGTCTGTTCAGGTTCTGGCCTGGATTCTCTGTTGAAAAACAAGTTTGGTAAGAACAAAACAATCAGGGGATGGTTGCTCTGACATCACGGGCTGTGACATGAGGAGCTGGCAGCCTGTCCCTGAGCTCTCCTGGCCCCTTGGGGCCCTGCCTGAGCCGGAGGAACTGGCTACTTGGGAAGAAGCAAGGCTGGCTGATTTGTTAATAAAGATTACAGCTATGTTCGGAAAGGAGATTAGACAGATATAAATAAATGTCTAGAGATACCAAAAATGAAGAGGTTAAAGATGGGCAGATAATCCCCTCAAGTACAATCATCAAAAGGAAGAACAGATTATAAATCTAAGAGTGTGTGCTTCCAATTAAATAAAATCTAGGAAAACCCCGCCTGTCCTTTCCAATATTTCTTGACTGTAAACAACTTACTTTTCAGTTTCTCTAAATGTAAATCTCAGTCTTAAGATGAATCACAATGAAATGCATGTTACCTCTTAAAATCGCTGCCTTAAATATGCAAAGCTGCTTTAAACTGGGATTGTGTTTTAATTACTCATCTCATGCATCACCTACCCTATTTTGTCACAACACTTTGGGGAAAAAGAACATAATCACACAAGACACAACAAACGCCTGGTCTCAGTAAACAACCCCAAATAAAAATTTGCAATTATTTCTGAGGGCTGATACCCCGAGTAGCTGCTGACCCTTTTCACTCTGGATTTAGCTCTGACACGGAGCTCTTGGGAAGTGAGGGATGCGAGTGCCCCTGCTGCTTGCTCCTGCTGACAGGCACAAGCCAGCATCTAAAAAAAGCATAAGCAGAGATACTAACCTGCTCGAGAGTGCTGCAAAGCTGAACTTTCTGTACCTGACACCTGATTTGGGTGAGAACGGCAGCAACGCGCAAACCGCCCCACGGGGGGAAGCTTCCGATCGGTACCGTTTGGAACTAAGAGGAGGACGGGGCGAGACCCTGGGCAGGAGAGCACTTACCTCTTTGTCTACCCTGGATGCTGCGCAGAGCCAAGATGTTCTGCTCGTCCGAGAGGAACTGCTTCATCTTATGAAATGGCTCCTTGCCTCTCACAGTCAGTTTATTCCATGGCTTTGGCCGGGCCAGGATCTCGCTCACAGACCCTTGCGACAGTCCCAACACATAATGTCCAAATATCCGCTGTCCAATATTGTGCTTGATCAACTGCTCTTTCACCTGACGTGCAATTTCGGCCGTGTCTATCTCCTCGCCTTCAGAGATGCTCCCAGCACTTTCTGACTGGCTGGGAGATGGGGCCATGCCATTTACATCCGGGCTTTGTTGTAATGGACTTTGGGAAGATATGGAGTTTGTGCTGTATGGACCTGTTGGAAAAATCATGCTTGTGCTTCCTGCTTCCTGCATTGCCTTGGAGTAGAAGGACTGCATTAGCTGTCGCTGGAGGAGAGAGTTTAGTGCAAATTTTCCTGTGGAGGCCAGGGGTAAGCTGGGGCTCGCCAGGGATGAGCTGAAAAAGTCTTGACTTAAACCCGTTGGTGAGAACTGGTGTGTACCATTAGTATTGGAAGCCTGCTCCCCCGCGTTGCGGAGCAACTGGGAAGGAGGGGAGGCCGGCAAGGTTGCAGGACGCTGACTCTCAGGCTGGTCTTTCCCTTTTCTCCTGGCTGACCCTACAAGGAAGGTCAAACATAATGCATTATGGGGGGTCAAAGAGGGAAAAACCAAGATAAAAAAATGCAAAGTTTGCCCCGCAAAGGGAAAAAAAAAAGTGCAGATTGACACGGGCCAATGAAGTGGCGGTGGGAGTTTTGGTTTTGTTTGGTTTTGGTTTGTTTTTATTTGGTTTTGTGGGTTTTTTTTGTTTTTGTTTTTTTTTCATAATTGAAATTTTTTAAGCCAAACAAGGCCCCCAAAACAAACAACATGCATTTCATGTTTGCACCTTTCTTGTATGTTGCAGCCTGGAGAATCCCCCTTACAGACATTAACACTAGAACAGTTACATGAAGTGCAGTTATACAGTTAAATAAATGCAGTTACAGACAGCAAGTCTCTCTGTTGTCTCTCATTCAAGACATGACTCATTGGACCTGACTGAACCCAAATGCAGCAAACATTTACATTTTGGAACAAACCAATTTGAATAAAGGAATCACCATTAGGTGGATGCACCAAGATCACTCAGTTAAAAGTCATAAAACACTTCAGAATTCAGTAATCCCAGGGCCAGTGGCAACTTTTAACTTTCTTCCAGCTGCAAAAACCATAAGCATTCGAGTATCTGGAAATTCCATGACTTGCCATTTAAAAAATGTGCACACAAGATGTAAAAGCCCACGTTAGGAAAGCGGAACGGCAAACACACTTCGCCAAAAAGAAAGGATTTTGTTTTCCCAAGCTGACCTGCTGGTGGCACATCCAAGTGTATCAGACAGGGAGGTTATGTTCTCCATGCAAACACTGTGCATAACACTGGGGGGAGGAGGGAGGGGAAGAGACTTGTGGTGCCACAGATTTGTTCCCAAAACAGACAACAGCCTCAAATGCTACCACTGGGTACAGCCTGTAATGCCTCTTCCTCAACCTTTATAGACTCTCTGAGCTCTCCAAGTTTTACTTTATTATCCAGCCTATAAAACTACAGAAATCCAGCGTTATTCAGTGTTCCTGTTGCTTCTTAATCCTCCTGCCATGCATTAGCTCAGACACTCAGCTCTCACTCAGCCCTCCCACCCCGTCACAAGACAGCAAGTGAACCAGAACAGCCAAAAATCGTGTCAACCTACCGCTCAGGTCGCTGTTGGTGATGCGCAGCGTGGCGTTCTCCGACTGCAGCGAGCGGTTCTTCTCCAGCAGCAGCACCTCCAGCGGTTTGGATGCATCCTGAAGAGAACCAGAGTGGGAGGTTTGTTTCTAAAAGCATTGAGAGGCTCACTCAAGGCACTAAAAAGGATTTCAGAAGCAAAATAAAAGAAAACCACAAGTGCTCGACTCCTCTCTGGACGCAGGGAGGGAGTTCACTGGGTGTGGATTTGCGGGAATCACTCCGGGCTCCCGACATGAGCCGTGGAAGAGATTCACTGTTTAATTTCCACTGTAAATCATTCATCAATTCTGCATTATTTTGAGATGTGTAACGGAACATTTTCTTAATCCTACTTATTTTTAAATGGTCCTGGCACACTTTCAGTTTAAAAGCTGTAGACTTCTCTTAATCTGATTAAAACAGGAGTTAAGATTATATTATTCCTTCTAGGTCAACTGACCCAAGTTAAGCATTTCCTTGACATGCTGCGTTTCAGCAGAAACAGTTGGTTCAAAAATAAAACCAGCCACAGAAACCTGCTATTTACCTTCCCCTCAATATCTAACCCTTGATCATTAAAAAACTCATAGAAAATTAATCCCAGGATATCGATATTCAGTTCAGATTTCAGAAGCAGGACTTTAATTCACAACCTTTAAACTTAAGTAAGATTAATTTGCTGGAATGTCAGATCTTTCTCAGTACTCAAAGGTTTGTTTTCTTTTGTGAACATTATTTTCAAGGCTAATAAATACTTTAAAATGCCAAAGTCCTTGCTCAGCGTACTGCCTGTACACTGCCTCTAGTATCTTTAAATGACTCAACTTCACAACATTTTGGTTATTCACTCCAGCACAGCTGAAATATCACTTTGTCCTTGCCCACTTAAAAGAAATTAACAGGCAAAAAATGTTCAGTTCAGCTTTTTACAGAAGAAAACATCAGGAAAAACAATGATCGACCCATATGTCTCAACATCAACAGGAAACTGTCGATGCCAACGCCAAGGAATTGCAAGACACAATCTTTGTTAATTAACTGAATTGCTGAAGTAAGTAAGACAACAAAAGTAGGTTCAGTACCTGCCCACCAGAGCTTTCAGATGGTGCAAACTCCATGGATTTCAATATACTGTGGAAGGCAGGAAAAAAAAAATTATTTTCTATTTCTCCTTTCCATAACGACTCCACTAATGAGCATTAACATTATCGTTTCCTGTTCTCCAGCAACACTACAAGTGGTAACAACTTTCCTTGCAGTAACACAATCTCATAATGAATATAGAATAACTATTCAAACTAGTTATTGGATAAGAAAATTTTCTCAAGCGTCATCTAAATCATTCCATATGCAATCCCACAAGGCCAGTTTAAAGCGTAAATTTAAAGGTTAATAAGGATATAACATTTTCAGCTGTCAGAAGCGATATAAATTTATCTGTGAAGCTGGGAGGGAATGAAGAAGTCGTAGCAAAGCAACAAAACAGGGGAATCACCACCACAGTACAGCACTTTATATAATATACACCAGCTCACCAGCAAGGAAAATATGCACAAATAATCTTCCCCACCAAGACACTACAGGGTAAAAGGCAGTTTTTCATTTTAATAACCTCCTCGTTCTATGGCAACGGGAAGACAAAATGGCACAATATTTCTTAAGAAATATGAAAGATCCAAATATTTATAAGTACATTAGGAGAAGAATCTGATAGTCTTGTTGTCAATATTTTATATAAATACTGAGCGGTCAAAGGACGTCTCCCTTCAAAGGCTTTCAGTTAGAGTTGTCTCATCTGGCAAACCAGAATCTTACAGGAATCCAAACTTATTACTGTGCTTTGTCATATAAATTTTTTTAAATCAGCCTGCTGCAGGCAGGACATGAACTTCCTCAGACTGAAGCAATAAATGATTTCAGCTTCTTATTGTACAAAGACAACATTCATTTGGTGAAGAAAAACACATAAACAGATATAGATAGTGTTTATATAGCATTTTTCATGTATAAAGCACCAGGAACTTTGTGAGGCAATGAGAATCCGTTTATTAATGTATCAAACTGTATTAAAAGTTGTGGATCATGTACCAAAATAGGATGGCCCAAACCTGGAAGTGTTCAAGGCCAGGTTGGATGGGGTTTGGGCAACCTGGTCTAGTGCAAGGTGTCACTGCCCATGGCAGGGGGTGGAACAGGATGGGCTTTAAGGTCCTTTCCAACCCAAACCATTCTGTGGTTCTATAAAATGTGGAAACTGAGTCAAAAAAAGGCAGAAGGACAGTATTAAGACACAGGGACTTGTTCTGGATACCACGAGGAGTCCACCAGGCACCCATTAACTGCCTCAGACCACGTGGTGTCCAGCTCCTCTATGAACCTGTCCCTGCATTAATCCAGAGTCAGATATGCATTAAGTGACACTCTGGAAATCAGTGGTCTCTGAGTCATTCAAAGTCACTCAAAGTCATAGCAAATCCAAGGAAAAAAGGTCACTCTGAGACAGAAACCTGATGCATTTTGCATCTGTGCATACTCACTGCATACAGTGTTACTGCTGACAGGCATTCCTAAAATACAATGATTAATAGAATAATTTCTATTAATTTCTGGTAATGACTTTCATGACGTGGGCAGCATTGGATGACACGTCTTGCCAGCAGAAATGGCTGTAGGGTAGGGCCATCATCCTATACATGGCACATAAAGCAATGTTGTTAAGACTCTACGAGGGCACAACAGCTCACCCATGTGCAAAGGGGTTTCTTTTCTGCTATCAGTGGACTTGTGCCAGTCAAAGAGAGAGATTGTGCACTAATGGCTCGAGTTCTTAGAGAGCCTGACATTATATTGACAACACAGACGTGTTTATTCAGGTTGCAAATCGCTGCTGAAAGCCAGTGTTTCTCAGGACACCCCTTCAGGGGCACAGCTCTGTCTCCCAGGACTCCAAGGTGCCAGAGGAGATAAAAGCCCAGAGACTCATGCAAGGAAAACCCCGGTCACTGGCAAACCACTGTTTCCATCCTCCCAGGGATTCTGCAGGGGATGGCCTCTGCAAGGACAGCAAGTCATAATGCACGTCCTCATGATGGTCAAATGAGGAGACTCATCTGAATTTAAAAGAATCCCAATTTGTAACAGCCAATTATCATGTGGCAAACTTCCCAAGGCAATTCCCAGGTGCTTCTCCCACTTCAGGTCAGACCAGCAGCACTTGTGACACGGCTCTCCCAGTGAGCCCCACTTACCACACTTGGTTTGCCATTCGGAGCAGTCCAGCAGCATCCCAACCACCTTCCTCCTGGATGAGGCTAAACCAAAAGAAGCTGCTTGCTCCCCAAGGAGCAAGTAGGGGACAGTGTGCAGCCTCCAGAACCAGGCTGACAGTGGCAGGAAGTGCAAAGTAACCCTAAACCTATTTAGGGTGTACATTTGGTTCTCCACACCAAAAGCCTGGCTCTGAAGCCCTGATCCTGCCATTCCTCTCCTTGCACAGGCTGCTCGACTGATGCACTTTGGTTCTGAGCACCTGCTGCCAGCTGGGACCTTTAAGAAGGATCCTGATCCTTGCAGCAGCTGCATTTCCAGTGAGCTTGGAGCAGGCACTTGGCTGGAAACTTACTGACCTCTGCCTACCTAAAGTGGATTCTTTGCGACCTCAATTAGATTTCTGGCAATTTCACAGGTAATTTCCTATATACTTACAACCCAAAATATACTAAAAATCAAGCTGATGGTACCTCCAACTGTCCTAAGAGGATTATTCACTCCAGCAGATTCATTTTTTTTCAAAAAATATGATAGTTAAACATGTAAAAAACGACTCTTCAAAATGTGTCACAAAAGAGACGTTTTCCTCAGGAATATGAGGAAGCAAAATGTTTCCTCTTTGGATTCCAGGAATATCTTTGCCCATGAGATCTCGACTCAATCTGTGGCTCAAGATCAGTTACCTGCTCTTTAAAGGAATGATCTTGTGACTTGAATCTGCACATCTAAGATGACTTGAAAGATCTTAGTGCAAAGCAAAGTGTGCACTGGGACAGCTCGACTTTCTGTTCGTCTGATCCCGACTGCAAAGGCAGGAGGGGTCAGCGCTGTCGTGTTACTCCAGAGGGAACTGAAAGGACACACAGAGCTCTCAGATCTCAAAAATAGGTTTAAAAGCCATTGGGCACAAAAGCCGAGGCAGAAAGTGAAGAATCCTCCCATCCCAGATCTTGACATGGGCCCAAGCTGAGTTCCCCCAAGGTTAGATGTTGACTGATATTGAGAATCCTCAGCCTAAAATACCTCTAATATCCTGGGGAGGATTAAGGAAAATACATCAGTGACAAAAAACCCAGAGAAATATATTCTCTTTCTGACTTACTGACAAGATATCTTTTTTCTTGGTGCAGATCTTATAAGCAGTTAATTTCTGTTGGTGTTTCAGGGCACAGGACAGGTGTGGCAGGATTCAGTGTGAGGGATTCTGATTTACAGCAAAAGACTTTTCACAGTCATTTCCAGCAACAGCCTCACTTCAGATCAGACTGTTGCTGCCAGGTGATGCACATTTAGCCTTTAGCACATCCTTTGGATTAGATGGGAACAGAGGGGGTGGTGTCAATGAGCTGCTTGGAGGATGCAGCACTGCAAATATCTTCAGTGCTCTCATGGAGGGTCTTAACCCCCTGCACCATCCTGCAGGACGGTGTATGGACCCCAGGTCACTTCCAAGCTATCTGGCAGATTAGGGGATATAAAAGCTGTAACAGCTGGGAGAACAGGGTTAATTTACTGGCACCCAACCAGGGCCACCCAGGGGATTCTCCCATCTATTTAACTGCAGGCTCATCCTGAGCAGAAACACTATATGAACCCTCCTGTGTGACAACTTCTCCCAGACCTCTTATCTGCCTTCCCAATCCTGCCCTCATATGAGTCAGTGTTGTAAAAAATAAAGTTAATTTAAAAAAAAAAGGCAACATTGCAAGGAATACAGGGTTTGTATCTAAAGTACAAATGCAAAGTAAACCTAAATGTATTTGGTATGTACATTGGGTTCCTGGTACCAGAAGTCTGGCTTTAAAGCCCCAGTCCTGTTGTATCCCACCCACATTGCATTAAACCAGGTAGGGTTCAAAAGCCATTTGCTGTCTCAGCACATTTACATTTGGTATCTCATGTAGCAAATTGGAAGGTTGTGGCCTAATTCCCATTCACTCTTTTATGTATGAGGGCATAAACTGGCTGAAATCTGAAGCTGTTTCCTTAACTCAGGAGAGAACACAGACATATTTACCCCATCACTAAAACGATGACGCTTCTTTAAGACCAGTTAATAATCAGGAATAATGACCAAAGAAATGGTCAATTCACTTAATTTAAGTGAAACTATATACCCACTGTGAACCAGAACCACATCCAGCATGGCTTGAATATATCAGCACCAGGGGCTGGGCAAGTTGTGGGGCTTGCAAATCCAAAGCTGCTTTCCATATTCTCCAGGGACGTGTAAACAAAAGCACATGACTACCAGCCTCATCTGAAATACCTCATTAAACAAGGTAACGGGTTATTTCAGTCTTCTAAAAGCACACACAAAAATGCCAGAATGATGAAAGAAGAGATGGTACTTTCTCGCAGTTATTTAAACCTTGAAACCAAACATATTTCCAGTCAAAAAAGTTCTCTTCTGAACCTGACAGCTTATCTTGTTATAGTTTAAAATGAGGCTCTTTTAAGTCTCTTAAGAAAATCCCTTGAAATAGGAAGAGGCTGTTTGTGGCTTTAGTTTAAAACCACAATATATTAGCAAAAATATACAGTGAGACAAGCCCAGCACTAAACTGGTAAGTGCTGAACATTGGCTGCCAGAAGCAGAGAAAAGGTATCATGGCCAAAGGCTCTGCATTAAATTTTTGGTCCACATCACACGCAGCTGTTGGCTGGGGATTTTTGGGGTGGTCAGCCTAAAATACCACAGACTTTCAAACTTTTTTCCCTTTGTGGGCAATAGTTTTAGTGGCTTTTCTTCACGGACATGTGTATTATTTGCTATTGAGATCCTCTGCTGCAACAAGAAGCACCCTCAGATACAGCAGTTCCACTGGTTCTGGATGCAATTTCTGCCAATATTCCTGAATTCCCCGTTATTGTGGTTTTGACTGAATTCTTTATTGTTCCAAGAACACAGATTTGTGGCTTCATTTAACAAGCACTGTTAGCGTTTGTGAAAAAATTATGTAAGCATTTAACACTTACTTTAATTCTTTCTTAACCTCTTCATAATCAGCCTGTCCTTTCAGTTTTTCTTCCAGTTGCTTTAAAAAGAAAGAAGATGGATTTAATTATTTAGATTGTTTTTTTTTTCTTTTCTGCAGGCTTTCAAAATCATCTTCAAATTATTCCATATATACAGCAGCGCACAAGTGAGGGTTAATGACTCATACCTAATTTACATATATTAGAAAACAAACTATAACCAATTAAACGTAAACACAATTATACCTCGCTCATCCTTTGTTTACAGAGTGCCAAGCATGACAGAATTCAGTGGGTCCCAATTTGGCTGTTTGCAACATCACTGTTGTGTGCTCAATAAAGAGATCAGGGGAGGAAGGTATCAAAAAAATGGGGCAGCCGGAATTTTTCAGGGAACTGGGAAATTGAGTAAACAAGCAGGATGCTTTGGCACACACCGTGCTCTTAATAGGACAGTTCTTGATAACCTTATCTACATGATAAAAAGAACAGACTGAAGAAGCTGTTGTTGACTGGGACGCCTTAGGCTTGTAGGGCTTTTACAATGCCTCGTGCCCAAACACAACAGCTGTACCAGGTCGTTTTACAAGCATTACTTATTGCAATAACTAATGTGATTACACACACTGGAGATGGAGCACTGAGACCAGCCCAGCAGGTCGTTTTGCTCAGGGTCTACCTGACGCCGGGCGGTCTCAAAGGCTCCTCTGCGGTGTGAGGATGCCACAAACGTTGAAACAAACCCCCTGACACAATCCAGAACGTAATGCCACACACTTGGACCTTACCCAGCTCCCAACAACAGTGCTCATCACTACAGGATAAATGCTTCAGGAGGCCTAAAACATAGTGATACATAATTGATGCCGTTACGTTGCTTGCAGAAGCCACATTAATTTCCCACTAATAATTTCTTTGCTTAGCGCAGACACACCTGATCTAAGCAAAGAACAGAATTTACTGGCTTGCAACTTCCATGGATAAGTTCAGGCTAGCTCTGTTACACTATATTTTTGGTGTTAAAATTGTCACAGAATCCCAAAGGTCACGGGAAACAGAAATAACACAAGGACGCCTCACCTCAAAGACAGAGCGTCTGCTTTGAAAAGGAAAGGAGTACATGACATGAAAAAGAAAAATAGGGCTTTGTGTCCAGGAGAGGCTGCCTTCAGGGGAGAAGGGAATTCAAGATCCTACACCCACTCTGGGGCTGCTTCTTGACTGCAGGAGGGCAGGGGAGGGCTACTGGGAACTTGGATAATTTTAGCAAACCCGTTTCAAATGCAGCCCCACAAAGTTGTGCAGCAGCACAGCTACGGGTGTGTGGAGGCAGGGCTGGCACAGGCCAACAAATAGAATTGGGAACCTGTTCCCTGTGCTGCCTTCCCCAGTAAGTCGCTGTGTGGGTATCACCCATCTCAACCTGTCCAATTTAAATGAGGGTTCTCCACATGATAGCAGCGTGGTGGGGCTTTGTGGGATATTCCACCTTTTAAAGGATTTTCTTCCCAGCCCTGTCCAGCTCACACACTGCTGACATTTCTGCCTTGTCACCAGCACGGATATTAAAGAGCAGTGACAAAGTGGACATCCAACGTTCTCAATACACAGCCCTCTTCAATTCCTGTTCCTGCTGTTTGATGCCATAATCCACCATCCTTAGTCACCGCCGACAAGAGGCATCTCCCGGCAGGAATACACGGGCCCTGCTCTGGCAGCTGCTCAACAAGCAGCTCTTAATGGATCACCACCACTGCTCGTCACAGGGATGCAGGAACTGCTGCTCAGTGTGGAATTTGCACTCTATGGGACACTGATGAAACGAGTGGCCTCTTAAAAAGGTCTCGTGTGCCAGCATCCTCAGCCAGCAGTGACTTGCGCAGTCATTCCCATTGTGTTAAAAAGAAAAAAACCCTGTCTGTTTTAGCTAAAACAATATTTTCCACCTGGAATATATATATAAGACGAGTTTTAGTTGTTTCTTCTGACATGTCCTGACTTACCACTGACTCTGTTTTAGAGAGCAGACACAGTGCTACAGGTGTTTTGGCCCTATACTTGACGTAATGAGGAAAATCCTGATGTGACCAGGAAAATCCCATAAATATTAAGGATGTTGGAGGTTTTGATAACCTCCAACATGTGTTGAAATGTCACTGTGGGAATGTACTATGTAGTCCCAGAGCCTGAGGTGCCACATCAGTTCTCTGATTCTTAAGGAGGACCAGCTACAATGTGCCACGAGTTCGAGCAGCTCAAGCTACAACTCGATGCTGAGCCAAAGTTACTTTAACAAGGAATCCAAACAGAATTTTTAATGCACCAGATCAGGCTGGAGAGGGATCTTTAAATGAAACCAGGGAGCCCTTGGTACTGGGAGGAGACTCAGCATCACCACTGAGAGCTTCCAAACTGGATGCAGGGAATGGGAGGAGCGGCCAAACGCCCCACGACATCCTTCTGCTCTCCTCGGTCATGTCACTTTGCCACCTGCTTCTAACTCTGTTTGGTGCTCCACAGCACAGACACACCACAATTCACCTCTTCCTTAACTCTGTGGCTCATAACATTTTGGGTCTACAGCAGAGGAGCTTTTACAGCAGGGATAACTGGTTATTTATAGTAGTCCTTGGAACAAAAAGTACCAGAATAGATTTAAAACAAACAATATCCTGGATTAACATGTTACTTACTTATGCAAGGATATGCTAAGAAAACAGCCTTTTGTAGAGACAGACATAAACCACAGAAAAGCTAATGATTCCCATTTTAATGCAACCTATATTAAATGTAATTCTGTGCAGGGATAAGCTATACCCAGATAAAGTAAAATTTAGGTACAAAACACAGGTAGAAAAATAAAGAAAAAAATAGATATTGACAGAATGAAGCTGTTTTGGACTCTCAGGTACTCACATGCTGCTATAGCAGTATGGCAACCAGCAATATTTTACTTTGAATTGTATAAAAACCACATATATCCATCATTCCCAAGGATCTAATAGAGAGATTGTTGCCATGGAAAATCTGCACCTAAATGTTTACTTCACTAAACAATATAAACTAACAACTGAGGATGCAGTGCCTGTGTATAAGCAGACCATTTAGGCACTTGGCATCTTCCCAGTCAATGACTGTTTTAAAATGTATTAGTATGGTAATTGTCTCAAAGAACCCTGTAAAATGCACAGAACACGGGATAACAAAGGTTCAAGCTGTGAGACAATCTGGAGGAACTAATATCTTACACTAAATATCAACCTGGTTAATTCAGACAAAATATATTCTAACGACCTCCAACACAGGAAAATGCAGGAGCCAGAGGGCAGAAGGGATGAACTGGTGGCATTTCTGCATGTTAAATTTGAAAATATTCCATGTTAAAGACATCTTGCATTTGTGTTATGAATGAACCCATGTCAGAGCATGCATAGATTGGGTCCTCTCTTATGTTATTTCAAAAATATAATCTTTACTGTCTTTTTAACCTAAGTGTCATAGGTAAAGAGCAGGGGCTGTGTTAAGGGCTTAAAACATTTAAAAAATCATTAGACTAATGCTGTAGTTTAGTTTAGAGTGATAAACTAACAAGCCCACATTTAATTAACCTGGGCTATTTGATGTATCTCTGTGCTGTATTTTAACTGGGTATCAGGGATGTTCTAACACCCACAAAGGGTTAACATAATTAGAGTTAGAAAAGTCTTGTTACTAGAGGACATGTTTTGATTATTAGATCAGATGAAGATAAAGAAGCAATAATTTTGGAAGTATTTCTGTATTGTTTCATTAAGTCATAGAGTATTAAACAATTCCCCCAAGACACAGGCTGAGAACATTGCTTTAATTTGTGAAACTCTTTTTTTTTTTTTTTGTGGAGGCAACTGTTACCATCTCTGTTATTTTAGAAGCAATTCCTCCCTAATCAAACCTGAGATCGACACATTGTCACTGAGATTTGGTGCTGTGTACAACAGAGCTCTGGCACAGGCTTTCCCAGTACTTTGGGGTAAAAGCAAGTACTTTGAACTATATTTATAGTTGCAACAAATAAGGTTAAAGAGGGTTGAAATGACTAAAACTTTATCAATAGAGGCACTGCATCAGACACTATCAACAGAAAGCTAAATACAGAGCATTAGCTGGGCAAGGCTATGAGAAAATGGAAGGAGATTACTGAAATGGAAATCAAAGACTTGCTCTGTCATTTCTATGATCCTACTCCCTTTGAAGTTAATGGCTAAACTAATACTGACCTCACCAGGAACATGCTTTATTCCAAGAAAATCTGTCAAGTGCAAGGACTCAAGATATTTTCTATCAGGCTTTATGAAAAAGGAAAAGAAAAAAAAAACAACCAACCCTCTAACATGGGCGTAGCCAGCAAAATGTGTCCCTTAAAACCAGGGCAGCTCTTTTCACCCTCAATAAAAGTGGTGCCCACACGGTGACAGGTGGGCAGGGACTGATATTGTCAATATAGTTACATAATAGGTCTCCTTTGCTCCACTGAATTTTCATAAAAATTCTGCAAAGCTGGCTTAAACCATGTAGAAAGCACCGACTGCAACACTTTAGCTTCCATTCCTAACAGACATCTCTCCACGTAAATTATGCTCCACCACAGCAAAACTAGTAACTGCTTAAAAAATGTCAGAATTAGAGCAATTTGTAAGAGTTTCAATTGAACATTAAATCATTCTGCTAGAGCTGAACTGCCCACGCCACAGTCAGAGCTGAGTGGGTACCATCAGCCTCCTGCTCTCCAAAAACCCTCAGACTATCAAACCTGCAAAACTACCAGGTCTTTAATGGAATAGATAAATTTATCTTGTTTACACTTTGGAGCTCCGAGCTGGTGGAACAATGAAGGAGACGGGGAGTTACAGGAAACTGATTCATCCCACAGGGCAGGAAACATTCCTCGTGCTCACGGAGACATCCCAACTGTGTGGGCTCAGCACAAAGAAAGTGAAGCTGCCCAAGCAGAAGGTAAAAGGGTCACTCACAAAATTCTTAGCTGTTCCTTCTGGTTCTAGTGCAGTGCTGTATGCAAATGAGCATAGCACCAGACCACTAATTCTAAATGGGAATTATCGTACAGCAAAGAGTTAAAAAATAATGAAATGGTTATTAAGGATAAGAGCCTTCTCTATGTCCTGATTTTATTTGTTTCTGTGCTCTAAATGATACACTTCCCTTTTCCAGTGGACAGAACTGGAAGGGGTAGCAGGTAAATTTAAAGATAAACCATAAACATTCCTGGCAAATCTTCAATACCAATCACTGGAATGGGAATTAGAAGTTTTAAAGCCTAGAAGGATTTTCTGTGCCTTTTCAGTTCAGCTGTCTCATTATGTATCCATGGTCAATAAATGTTGGGGGTTGAGGGTGGGTTTAATTCTAAAGGTAGCCCATGTTCTCCAAAAACACATTTCAAGACAATAAGAACTGAGTAACTTAGATTTTTAAAAGAAATGTGATCACTTAGAATACAAAACATCCCTGCTCACGGGAGGGGCTTGGAATTAGATGATCTTTAAAGTCCCTTCCAACCAAACCATTCTGTGATTCTATGAATGCCACAGAAAACAGAATTCAGCAGCATCCTGAAGAAGCAGAACCACAGCAGACTTACACCAGTGAACCCCAATATCATGATATCTGTTACAAACATCACGAGCTGCTGAGCACAGAACTGAGCCTTACTTTGAGTGTGCTGTTCTTGGCTGTCAGCTGCTGCTCCAGCTGGGAGATTTGGCTGCTGGAGTTCTCCCTCAGCTTGGTGAGGCTGCCCTGGAGCCTCTGGACATCTTCTACGAGCTGGGCGATCTCCCGCTCCTTCGCAGCCAGTTCTACTTCCAAGCTGGACCGTGTTAGCACCTCGATGGCCTGCTCCTGAGGGGAACAAAGCATCAGACCACAGAAATTAAAAAAGGCAACGAGCCTGAATTCAGGGCAGTTTGGCAAGGACCAAGCATGGCATCAGGTGGCACGAGAAACAGAGACAATTCCTAAATGTGGGACTCCCATGACTGACTGCGTGAAACTGGAAGATGAGCCTTTCTACTGCCCAGGACAGCTCCCAGGGAAAACAGGGATAACAGAGAGAATAAATTCCCCCATTTCATAAGTGCACTGGAAAGATGCAGCCGTGAAAGTCAAAGGATTCTATTTAGTTCTATTTATTATTAATAGCCCGAATGCTTTGACAACTATGAAAATCTGTGCTTACAAAATACTAATCAGATAAAATATTCCGAAGTAATGGAGCAGAATTTCTTAATCAGGAACGGCAGGGCCATGTGCCTGTGGCTCTCTGAATGCACAGTGCACGTTTCAGGCAAAATTGTCAAAAATTGCCCCAAACTGCTACTTCCAATGAACTTGCTCCTCGCATGAAAATCATTCATGTTAATATTATTGCAAGCATTCCTCCATGGGGAAGAAGATAGATGTGACAGCTCTAAGACAAGGCCATTCTCCCCTTGGTCACCACTTTCAGAAATTCTCTTCCCTAAATCTTTCTTCTTCCAGTTTCCCACAGCTGCAAAAATCCATCCTGAAGTCGGAAACTTCTTCCCTAGACTGACCTGCCAGTAGGACAGGAAACTGGAGAGGAGAGAGAGGTTCAGGAGAAGGCAGATCTACTCAGAAAAGATAACAGAAACTAATTGCACCATCTCTTTGTCTCCTTTTGTGCTAAGAGATCAACAGCTGTAACACATTGGAGAGCTCCAAACCTCTTCCATGAAGAACGTGAGGAAACCCTTGAGCATGTGTGGGGAGCATGAGCCCAACCATGAACACACATTCCATTAAAGAGCCTAAAATGCATCTTACAGAGGTTAATGGCTGTTCCTCAGAAACACCAGTGAAGTAGGAGAGAATCCATTTAGCAAGAGAGACAATGATGGTGAGCATTAAACCAAAGATCCTGCGGAAGAGCTGGGAATTCAACCCGCCAACGCTGTCACCCAAACACTTCCCTGACAATTCAAGATGACACTGCAGCAGATTGAAATATATTCCACATCCGCTTTTCTGGGAATACAGGAACAGCAAAATACCCTTTTCCATATCTTCTAAACACTTATCTTGATTCTCAGTGACTATACCCCACTGTACTCTGAGAAAGCTGCAAGTACGAACAGCAGTTAACAACACTCTCCTATTACACTGAATTATACTTTTAACTTGAAAAAACCTCTAATTTGCTTGCATGAAACATCACAAGTTGTATAATCATCTGCTGCTTGTGCCTATTGAGACTAGAACGTGGAGTCTGAAATAAGATAGATAATGATCATTTTCATCCTGCAGTAGTTGTCATATTAAATATAAATGAAGTGCAGAAGTACTATTAAATACAAGAAAGACCTAATGTTAAAATAATGATAAGACTAGGACATGAGATAGGAAGAGGCAGGTAATTCAGAGTTACAAGTGATATTCAGGCTTTTTATTTTTTGTTTTGCAGCCTACTTGTCTGTCTTTTGACTTCTCTGAGAAAATGCTGGGTTGTATTAATAGACAAGCAAACAGATCTGGAGGACTTATGGTTTGTTACTCATTCTCTGCAAATGATTTTTAAAGACAACCATGTGTTTCTCTGCTATCAGTGTCAAGCCCGTGTATGGTTTGCAAGAAAAAAAAAAAAAAAGCAATGATTTCTTTTGTTTGTTAAATCTGCTGCTTAGAAGTAGACTACATTTCGCTTAATTGCATATTTACATTTAAATACTCCTATCTCTCCTTTGGCAAACAAAATTCAAACTAATCTGGCTGCTCATCTGTGATACCTGTTCACCCAGGACCAGCTGGAGTCCTGGAGCAGCTCTGGGTGCCTGCAGGTCCCACCAGCAGAGTCAGCACTGCCAATATCCCCAAACAGCAGCACTGCCTTTATTTAGAACCACACAGAGGAGGCAACAAGCAGGAGTGCAGGATGTCTTCTCAATTTTCAAAGCTGCTTTCATTGGATTTATAAGTGTAATTCTCAGTTTTAGATATATCCAGTGAAAAGCGGAGTGAGTTCAAATTTATTTCCAGTTCCTCTGGCAGCCCAGACACTGAGGGTAACGAGAGGGAGCTCTGGGCAAAGCAGGTCCCTTCAGGCTGAAGCTCCACATCTCCACTGGTCCTCCAGGTTTGCTACCTCTATTTTTCCTCTGCTGATGCTCTTTAGCAACGTGAAATAATTTCTGAGAGCTGCTATCCACCTGGACCTGCAGCCCCGGAGAGCGATGGATCACCACAGAGCCAAGTGGCCTCTGTCCTTCCCGGGGTCTTCTCCAGCCACCAAAAGTTGAACCCACCCACAATCCCAAAGGAACACCCTTCCATTTCAGTTAAAATACGACTCCAAAGAGTTATTTTTATAGCTGTGAGCATAAATTGAAAGAGCTGTACTGCAGGAATGTCAGAAACCTGTAAGAGTCAGTAAATATTTTCTCTCACCACATCAGGTGCCTTCTGGATCTGCGTGGCAAGTTGGAGAGATTTGTTAGCTGATGAGAGCTGCTCCCTTAAGGTCTCTGCCTCTCTCTGAGCCACCTCTGCCCTCTGAAGGAAATGAAAAGGGGTGAAAAGAGAAAGTACATTCAGTTTAACAACTGACAATTATTACAAGAACATTCATCAATTCATGCCTGACTGAATATAATTGATTTTCCTAAACACTCAACCTAATAAATGTTAGAAAAAAACATAGAATGTGATGGATTTTTATTTTAAACAGTACAAGGAAGAAATAATTGAGCGATTATGACAGTAATTTAACGCTAGGAGCAAGGAATCCCCTGCTGATACTAATGCTGCGGCCCACTGAATTTCCCAGACTGAATAAATACAAGTGGAAATGGAGTCTTTTTATTCAATTTCTTTCTATTCTCATAGACCAAGCAGATTTTATTGCAAGGCTCCTCATGGGAATAATTCTCACGGGTAAATGCTGAATTAAAAGATATTCTGACCACTCTCTCAAACACACATACAATGTTGTGGGCTGTCTTTCTGCAGTAATTATTCCCCCAAACATGAACTGTTAGATTCTGTTCTTTCAGCAGGTCTGTTTATTCAACAATATTTAACCCTGAAGTGACAATTTTGCACAGCTCAGTTACCAACTGCTGAGGATTTATGCAATAGCTGATAAGTCTGTGACTTGGCTACTGGTCAGAATTCCCATCTGAATATTGAATAATAATAGAAAGGAGAAAGGCAGAATTATGAGGAAATATTGTCTGTACAAGAGTTTGGGTAGAGACAGATGGATCAGTAACTTCAGGCAATAAATAGCAGCAAAGTCCTTTCCATAACTGTCTGCAAGCTTCTGTTAGCAGTGGAACAAAACCTGGTTGTTTTACAGTACATCCTCCTCCTGGCCAGACTGTCTTCTCTCTTTGTTTAAAGAAACGCATTTTATTGTTGCAAAACCACACTGCCTACCTCCTTCAGCAATCACTGCTTTTCACCTGGGCCACTCCATGCAAATCATGCTGTGCTTTTAGCAGAAAACAGGCAAAATAATTTTCTATCTCCACTTGCAAGACCTATCACCAACTCTTCCAAACCCATCAGCTGCCACCAGCGAAGGTCAAAACTTTTCTTGACCGGCTTTTACCCTTCCTTTACAGAAAGATAAATTCCCACTGCCATTTTTAAGCCACCAAAAGCGTCACATTTTGTGTGCCAGGCTCTTTGCTACTCCTTTGGAAAACCTAAGCCACCTGAAACAGCAAATATAAAACACAGAGCAAATGTAAAATCTAGAGTGAATATAAAACCTATAGAGAAAATAAAAAATCTATAGTGAATATAAAAAAATCTAAGGTGAATATAAAATCTATAGCAAATATAAATCTATAGCAAATATAAATCTGTAGCAAATATAAACCCTGTACCCCTGTGTGTGTGTGGTCTCTGACTTTCTCACCAGTCAAAGCAGAGCCTCTGCACGTTTAATCAATGAGTAAACTAACAGCAATCAAATACTAAACGCATCATCTGCGCTATTTGCTCACAACATTGTATTAAATGATTTTGCATAGGTTCTGCAGCTGTAATTAAAATGTGATTGTAAAAAGTACAGTGTCGTGGCACTAATAACGAGAGCAGGGCACACAACCTATTGTGTGCTTGGGGAAAAAATGGTAACAGCACTAAAAAGGCACAAGAAGAGAAATATTAGGATAAATACTGAGCTAATGATCCACAATGAGATAAATTATTTCCTTGTATTTTGTTAGATGTGGAGCTACGTATATTGATCTAATAACTGCGAAACAACTCCAGCAAAGCAGGACAAGTTACTACACTGTGGCACTTGCTCTTGCATCTACTGCTGTATAAGTAATGGGTTTTGCAGCCTTGAGCAATTCTGCTGATGGCTTCCATTCACTGCAGCATTGTTTGGAGAATCTATTCAGCTCGCATGCGAGCAAACCACAGAGGATATTGCTAATAGGTGGTACATCTGCATATACAGTGAGCTGTCAGCTGCCCTTTCTGCACAGCCTCCCCAGCCAATTCACAACACCTGTTGTGATCCTCAGAATAATATCTGACAAGATTTCACACTAGGCATTGTTAAAAATACATCGGCACAAACTTCGGGCAATTCTATTTGGGAAATACTCGTCAATTTTTCTCTCCCCCCCCCCCCCAAGAATGGAAGCTTTTTAGAGCCAGAATTACAGATGTGTTCAGCCTCTGGAAAGCACTTTTGGGTGCTATTGCAATATGAATTATAAATGACACACAAAAACCTATTAAAAGAACAGCAGTTTCAAATCTGAGCACTTACAAGTTTGGAAAAGCCAACCCCGAGTGCAGGGTTTTGAGAGGTGGGATGGCCCCACACAGGACCTGCTGTTGCTTTTTTCCAATGAGTCTCTACTCCATCCAACTCTGGGATGAATATTGCTCAGTGAATGGATCTTTGGCTTTGTCCTCCTTGTTCCGTGTGTGACCCCCAACTTTATTTACTGCAAGCTAATCCCACCCTCCTCTGCCGACAGGATCGATCACTTCCTCATGGGCTGTGCTCCACCACCAGAGGATCTAAGTGCTTCAGAAACGTTAATGAATGCACTGGCACAACCCCTATTTGGAGCTATTTGGGTTCCTCAAGCCCCTGGCACATCTCTCTGCGTGGCAGCATCAACCACAGCGTGGCACAAGCTGCCTCTGCCCGTTCCTCACCTGCACCCAGACCCTGCACAGTGCCTGCGGTGCTGCTCCCCTGTTAAACCCTCTGGATTTGCCTTCTTGACTCCCACTGTCCCTTGTTTGTCACTCTGTCCCCTTCCTAATTTTGGCTGCTGGAAGCACTGTTTTTATCTTTTCTGAGCTTCACAGTGCCTTTAGCTCCAGGCAGGCAAAAGCCAGTTCATACCTCACACAACTTAAGGAATTCACACAAACTTCCAGAATTAGCCTTACCCCCACGATCTCCTTCCTCTTTTCCTCGTTGCTTCTTCTCCAAAAGTCTTCACAAAATGTCCTCCAAGTGTCCCAGTCTTCCTCCTCACTCCCTCCCCACCATGAACCCTTCTCCCCTTCCAGTTCCCACACCGTGTCCTGTATCCTGCCGTTGCCGTAGCAGGCTGGGGGAGCGTCTCCCCTCCCCGTGCTCCCCCTGTGCCAGAGTGGCACAGAACCTTACATCACATCCAGGAGAAGGAAAACCTGGCTGGTTAATGTTCACCCAGTGACAGACTGCAGCGTGCCTGGGACAGGCACCGACAGCAAAGCCGACAAATTCAAACCAGATTCCATTGAGTTGGTGTGAACTCTTTTTTTTCCAGACTCTTACAGGCTGGCTAAACTTGGGGCTTCTTTTTTTTGTTGTTTTGTTTTAACTTCTTTTTTTTTTTGTTTTTCTACTTGAAGCAGCAGAAGATACAACCCTGAGAAAAAGGCAAACCCTCCCTTCCTCAAGCGCCAAGTCCCTTCTATTAAATCCGGGCACAGCAGGCTCCTCACCAAAACAGCAAGAAAAACTCAGAACATGTGGGGAATTTCTTTTTTTTTTTTTTTTCCTCCTAATCTTGTTCTTAGAAATGGTTGAACAATTTTTCCTGAAATGAGAAAAGAGAGCACAGCCAGAGACAGGCGCCCAGTATGGAAAAATGGATAAACCCAAGGAATCTTGCACAACGTGGAGCCACTGGAAAGTTCACATAACCTTCTGTTTGCATGAAACTATGCCACTTCAGCTAAGAAATATCTAGAGATTCACAGAACCCTAGAATGGTTTGGGTTGGAAGAGCCTTTAAAGACCATGTTCCACTCCCCTACCATGGGCAGGGACACCTTCCACTAGCCCAGGTTGCTCCAAGCCATGTCAAACCTGGCCTTGGACACTTCCAGGGATGGGGCAGCCACAGCTTCTCTGGGCAACCTGTGCCAGGGCCTAACCACTCTCACAGGGAAGAATTTCTTCCCCATATCCCATCTAACCCTGCCCTCTGGCAGTGGGAAACCATTCCCCCTGGTTCTGTCACTCCATCCCTTGCCTGAAGTCCCTCTCCAGCTCTCTTGGAGCTCCTTGAGGCACTGGATATGCCATAGCACAGTTGCTTTTCATCCATCAGTGCTAAAACTATTGGTTTCTTACTTCCAAATCCTACATACAGTCAAGAAAACCCTCAATGACCAGTGACAGTCACACAAGTGGCTTTGATGAAGATCATGCAAATCTACTGTTGACTAAACCCCCTATTTTTCTAGATAGTTCAGTCACACAATTCCCTCTAATTCCTATACCACTGTTTTTCTAGCACAGAACCACCTCCCTGGCAAGAAAATATTTCAAAATACTTTCATTCTGCCTCACACAGCAGGTAAATATTGTACTGCTCATGGCGGAGCCGGGAGGTCACGCTCGCAGTGCTGCCGTGGGCTTTCCAATTAAAAGAAAGGAAAAGAAAAAAAGCCTTACACAATACATCCAGTTTAAATTATTCTCCTTGTTTCCTGACAAGATAATGAATAGCATGAACCGAGTGCTCTTCTACTTACAGTAAAATGTTAATTTGATCAAAGACCAGTGGTGTGAACAGCAAAATGAGATACTTACACACACACACAGAAAAAAAAAAAGTATAACCTTTCCCTTGAAGTTCCATCAGCCAAACTGTATTTCCTCACTCCATGCTAAATTCAGTGCTGTGTGTGGTAAAATCTTCCTATGGGCGAGGAGTGGGTATTATCACAAGTAATTCTGCTGCAGTTAATGAGCCTGGTTGTGGCAGCAATCACCACGCTTGGAGCTGACATTCGTACTTGCAAGCTGCTGCAAAAGCTGTGTTTCTGAGCGTGAGATCAATTAAAACACACTGGTTCAATGTGCTTTAATGTTCTAACTTTCCAGATATAAAAATTTACTGTAAAATCTTTAAATGGCCCTAACTTCCACAGAGCAGCAAGCAAGGTTAGATGAAAATCAGGGACGTGATTCTTCAGGGCTCTGGTACCTATTTTTTTCCAACAATGGAGAATTACATCAAAAAAAGAAAAAACTCCACCAACCAGAAGAGGTTGAGTTGTCTTCATTCTTG